CCTGTAGAGATAGACTCTAAGGGGAATAAGCAGACGTGCAGACAAGGCCAACAGTGAAGGTAGCTCATTTTGCTGAGGTTTCTTTAAACTAAATAAAAAATGAGAGGCATGCCCAGACAAAAATACAACCAATCTCACTGGCAGATGCAAACTATTCAGTCAAAATCACTACTACAGTTGCTGAAAAATTGAAGAAGCCACCAGTGTAGAGGGCAGCAACAAGCCATGCTGTTATACACCTTACCCTAAGCCCCCATGCCTACATGTTCTCTGTGCGATGACAGGAGACACTCCTCTCCCTTTTAGCATATGGCCCATCATGGAATACATGTCTTACTGCAGCCGTATCTGAATGTGTACCCTGCAACTGATCCTCACGTGGTTTGGGTTTTGGAGGGTTTTCTTCTGGCATCAAAAAAGCAATTCATCACCTATTACAGTACTGTCACCCAGGTGATCTCAGTTTGGATTTTCAGATGAACATCACTGGGGCTGACTAGCAGACTCTCCTTCAGCCTCTGTCTGAACTAGGTGCCGGATGGCTCATGCTATCTTATCGCCCTTACCTGTCCTTTTTTTTTTTAATGTGGATGAAATTAAATTTCAGACAAACAACATTCTCATTGGATCCAGAAGGCTGAAGCAGAGCTCTGGTTCTGCTGCACCTAGAACAGGTTGCCTACTCTTCCATGGTGAATTTAATCTTTAAGGTTGCTTTTCCGCTACATGTGACCCAAATCTTTGTAGTGAGCTGAGCACTCATAGAACTCTTGGCTGTTGTGAGAGCTGCAAATATTCACACCATTTGAAAGAGAATCAGGAGAATCATCCCAGACAGAAGAAACAGATCTCCTGTGCTGACAGAGTAAACACATTTGGGGTCTGACTTTGCCAACAACTCCTTTTTCTCTAACAGCTACTGGAGTGGATCTGCTAACATTTAAGAGATATCCAACATTTTACATTGCAAAAAGCCACTTCGAGCTGCTTATGTTTTTAGCAAATTTAATTTCTGAAAGTAAATTTGAATTTAATTTAAACTGTAACCCCAACATCCCTATTCAAAAATCTTGGAGCCTTGCATTAGGTGTGGTGTTTAAAGGTTTTTGATTGTCCCCATACAGGTCTCTCTATGACAGCCACTCTTCAGGCCCAGTTAAGTGCCATTATGTCAACCTTCCACGTGTCAGAGGTAAAGCTCCTTAAGGTCCTTTACTGCCAGAGGAGTACAGAACAAAACGAAATGCCTAGAATCTGTTTAGCAGCTGATGACTTTGTTATTTAGGAAGGGAAGCAGAATGGAAATACTTTATATGAGCCTCCTTCACGGTCAAGTCAAGGAGCTAGTTACAGCTCAACGTACTCTGATGCAGTTCTTGGAGCTGGCCTTGAGCAGGTCACTTAAGACTGGTCCTGGAAGTGTTGCCATTGACTTAAATAATACCAAGATGAAAACTTAAATCTCCCTGGGTCTCTGGCACTGGATCTAACATGCCTTTGTCTAGTACTTCATGACAACTGCATCTAGAGAGACAGCTCTTTGCAACGGAGTACCTAAAGCAAGATATGCTCCTGAAATCCACTAGAAAAATACACTGGCCCTTCAGGCAATCAATAGACTAAAACAATGGCAATAATAATGTGAATAATGGTAACAGGATGACCATTCAGCATTATGAGTGAGGATTTTTGGAAATCCATTAGTGATAGAAGAAGAGGAGTTTCAGTGCACCAGTGTTCACCATGTTTAACTGTGTAATTCCATGAATTTCTGCTTCTCCTTAATTTCAGAAAGACAAGTCAGTAGCTTCTGTCTTGCATATTTTATTTTTTTCTCATCTACTAGCTAGCAGAAGCAGAAAAATAAACACACAACTAGGAGCTGTATTCACAGACAGGAAGTAACTTTAATTAAATATTGTGAAAGTTGAAAAGTTTTTACAGCTTGAATTTCTGCAAAAAAATTATAACAATCTCTACAGTAGTTAGTTTCTCTAACAATAGAACTGTACAGTGTGTGTGTCTATTCAAAAAGATTTAGATAAGAAGGTGAAAGGTTAGTAGTTTCAGAGATGACTTCATTTTAGCTGCATCCTAGTACAACTGTGAGGAAATAGGCATACTTTATGCAATCCAGTCATTTGTGAAGCTTCACCTTGTTAAAACTGAAATCTGAATGTTTCCACTTAAAGCCATATTCTGTAAACAGCTGCATCTTTTACTTTGTAAAAGATAAGGGTGGTGCGGGGGAGATTTTTATAAATTCCCATTTATCAGATCACTATAAATAGCTGCAACAAAACAAAATTATGCACATTGTCAAAGGATCTTTGGACACTGGCGCAGAAGACTACAAACATCGATGGCTAACACTGGTGTCAAAATCGCTATGACTTTGAGTGGAGCTCTACAAGAGTAATTGATGGTGTCACTGGACAAAATATGGCTTTAAATTTGATTACATTGTCGTGCTGTTGCTTACTATGTGAATTAGAATAATCGCTTGGAATACAGAGAAGCAATAAACTGATGTCTCTCACATTTTCCAGTTTTCTCTTCTTTTATTTTCTCACCATGAAAAAAAAAATCCTGTTTTCTTCCCTTCCCCCCAACGATCACGCTGTGACATTCTAGTGAAAACCATTGCAAAATTCATACAGGAAGCATGCACAGTTGCAGCATCGTTGTAAATGATTTCTTGCTTGACTAGAAAAAAGTTATATTGTTTTAAGGTAACAAAACAGTTCTTTTGTGCTTTTCAATTCCTTTTTTTTTTTTCTTAGAATGTTAGTGATGATTGACAGTTCTGGTGCACAGTACAATGTACAAGTGAAATGAATATGATTTGCATTGTTAAGGCATCCAATCTGCTGGTTTATATTTATGTGAAAGACAGAGAAATATACAAGCAGACTTAAGAAAGAAAGTATTTTCATTGAGTTCTATGAAGTTTCTCCCCATATTTAATGCACAAAAATGCGTCACTCCAAAGAGGAGAAATCCCATGCATATTAATAGAGTAAAACAGCATTAGTTTTTGTTAAGCCTCAAAAGCAAAGGATACATTTTTTTTAAAATCTACATAACTAAATGCTACAAGAATAATATGCTACTTTTTGCCATATATTGGAAAAAACTTCTTAACTTACAAATAATACAAAAATAGACAATGGCTTTTGGGTGGAAATTAAAAAAAAATGGAAGCATGGTTTTAAACAATACTAAAAAAAAAACTATAAATGAAATGTTTTAAAATCACATTTAAACAGCTAATACAACGGTGAATGACCAAACAAATCAGCACTTTTCACATAGCAAACATACACAATAAAATAAACTTGGTAGGGGATAAAAAGCAATGTACAAATTCCAAAGATAAATACATTATTTATATGGATATTTTACAAAATCCCCTTTAAAACAAACAAACAAAAAACACAAACAAAAAGCTTTTTTTTTCTTTAATTAATTTTGCAAGTATGTGCAAGCTAAAGGTAGTGAGCTTTTTTTTTGCAAAATATGCAGTAAAATTCTTTTTTGTGATATTGAAAAACTGTCTTAAGACATTAAAATGTATAAATAGAACAACAACTTTGGCAAAAAATCACAAAAAATCTACAGTATTTATAACTACATACAAAACACAACAGCAAAGAAAAAATATCAGGTAATGCATCTTCAGAGCTTTGCTGCCTCTTTGACTAATAGTTTTTAAGAACACTTCCCAGATAATGATAGCAAAATTTTTGTAAAACAGAAGCTATGGTTTTGATTTGAAACCTTCCTAACAACAGCCCCACCACCCACCCCCCTAAACTTGTTTCCATTTACTATTCAAAAGCAGTTACCTGTTGCTTAATATATTATGATACAGAGAGGGTCGACTGATAGAGGAACAATCCTAGTGGGAGGCTGATGAAAACGTGTGCTTTCAGATTGTGAGGATGCAGAATTGCAGACAAGTCTGGCCTCATTCTGCCCCGTAAAAACAAATAGGTCAAGGGGAGAGGGGCCACGCTGAAAGCACCCCATGCCTGATGGCCGCAGTCCGTGTCGTTAGACGGCTATGCAAAATCCAAACGGCATTTTATGCACAGCTCAGGTGACACTAAACTTCAAGAAGGCCACTCATTTGGACAGAGTCTGATATATAAGCTAAAGAGAGAGCCATGCTCGTCTAATTCTGCAGTTTTAGCATTACATCTAGAGGCACTGGGTTTTTTCAGTTCAAGAGGAAATGTTATTTGCATCCTTGCCTTCCCTTCCACCAACTATTCTTGTTGCGTTATTTACACAATTATTTAGCCTGATATTAAAGACAGAGGTTACTAATCCCACCCCTCATCCTGCCCTCGTCATCCAAAAATATCAACTATTTAATTAGAACATTAAAAATGCATCATATTAGCAAGTCACCACTGGATATGCAACCTATATGAGCCGACCCTTAATTAAATGGCCGTAATTCTTCTACGAAAAACTAACTGGCACTTCTATTCTGTCCCATACAGACTTGTATGTAAATGACACCACTTCATTTTTCTTTACACAGCTTTTTAAAAAAAAATTCATAAATTAAAAATGTGGACTTCCATCTCAAGTGTCCCTTGTGTAATTGTATGATTTATAAAAGACAAATGGTGTTGACTTAAGCCTTAAAAAAAACATAAAAAACAGAAGGAAATAAAAGCAAGCCCCCACCCCCACAGAAAAAAAAAAAAAGTGGATTTTTTATCAACATACAATAAATATATCTCCCAGGTATTTGGGATGGACAGCTTGAATCAACACCTTGCAATTGTAGATTGTTAATTTCAGTATTTGCAAGGATGGTGATTTTTGTTTTGTTTAAAAATCCGAAGTTATTGTAAGGTTCTCCTTTATTTCTTTTTTATTTTTAAAAAGGCCTGAGTAAAAAGTTCCACTCTGGGACTTGTATCAGATTCTCTCTGAAGCAGAATTCTACCTCTTCATTAATAAAATTCTTCAAGGCAATTCTTTCACATGGGGGGAACAATCATGCCAGATATAGCTGTCAGAAGGAAAGGGGTGGGGGGAGAGGGAGAGAGAAGGGGGAAAAAAGTTACTTTTGTGCATAATCAAGCAACTCTTAAAATCCTCAGAGCTTTTAAACATTTACTAGCAAGGTACTCAGCTGTACTGTGAATTGAATTTATATATAAGCATCATCCAGTAGAGACAACTATGTACACAGTAATCGCGGGAAGCCTCATTCTGATCGGGAAGTGTTTTGCACTGCAAGTGGCTCTTGAAATTAGTGATTCTCTTGCAGAAAAAGTACACTTCCTCTTATATCAGAATCAGACCCCAACTTAATTTTCTGATTTTAGTTTCAAAATCTCAAAATGCTCAGGAGGCTTAAACCCAACCCAGCCATTGCCACACATTCTATTACTCTTTTAAAAGTGAAGCAGCCACTTGCTCCACGTATGAGAAAATGGCTGGAGTCCCATAGGCCACCAATATTATAGACCTGGTAGGGTGTTCGTTGCATTAGGCACACTAAGAGTGGTTCATTCTTCTATGCCAGTTTTCTCTTACAAGTTCAGTGTTCAGCCCTGGGACTTATGTATGTATTTCCAGGTGCTCAGAAAAGGACTTAAACTCTCAAACCCAATTTTCAAATTGAAATATGTCCTTAACTGGTGGTTTAGCAGACTGGCATCTCATGGTTTTATTACACTTACAGCAGACATCACCAACTACATTGAGTGAGTCATATGTTGATGTTAATTTAGAATGTCTTCTCTTTTGTTGGCTAAGTTGAATCATCAGTACTTCTTCATTATGCTTCCAAACCTCATTTTCTGTGAAACCACCACCTCTCTTAAAGAGGAGACATTCATTAAAAGTCAACAGGTACAGTCTTCCACATGGCTTGACCTTCAGCTTAGTCTCCCTCCATTTACCAGGGACACTAAGTAGGTTAGACATAGCAAGTGTCCAAGTGATACACTGTGAGAAAGCACATCATTACAGGATGTAGTCATGCAAGTTTATGATGAAAACTGTAACAACACTGCATCTTTAAAATACCACTTGTATGGTTATTTGCCAAAAGATAGAAAACAGGTAGTGCCTGTAAGATATGTATATCCTTTTATATAAGAAAAAAGGTAGTGCCTTCAGGTTGGTGGCACTTCACGGGCACATTAAAATGCTAGAACTGCCTGCCATCTCAGACATCTGGACATGTAATTTCTTAAGGAAGAACTCAACCCTGTGACTGGTGCTGATTCATCGTGCTTTAATTACAGCTGCAGTTATTTGATAAGAACAAAGCCAAAGTAAAAGACTCACAAATTTGGGGTTGGAGAGGGAGAGGAGGGAAATGTTTTCTCCACAAACACCACCATATGTGCAAGAATTACAAGTCTAATCAGCAAGGGGAAAACAGCTCAAGTAAACTGCACTGATTAAATGAAATAAAATGAGAGGAGAAGGCGAGAATGCAAAACACATCCACATGTTTACAACAGGCCATCCTCAGAGGTGACATGTTGCAACTATACAGCAGCATTTCAATTCTTGGAATTTACCATTCAACAATGGGTTTATGTGAAATCACTGTACTGATTGTTTCTGCTCCACATAAGGGCTCTTCAAGGAGCTGAGAATGAGGATAAAAGGGATAGAGAGGCGAGTTAAGTTGCTTTAAGCCCTACAGGAAGTCACTCAAGTGAGTAGCACAGAGGACACCACTGTGTCTTAGATGTTCCTTGCTGAGGTATTTCCTGTCCTGGGCTTTTTTGGATCCACCGTGGAGATAATCTGAGGACACATTTTCATATTATCTCCATAGCTATGCTGTCTCCTTTATATCAAATCATAGGATGATTTCGATACGGCCTTCTTTTTTAGAATCCTTGCCAATTTCATGAACTTTGTATGAAAAACCAGCAGCTTTGTTTGTTTAAAAAAAAAACTCAAAGGGTTTTATTTCAGCAGTATCTCACATAACAAGTTCTGAATCCTCACAATTGGGCTGTCCCCTTGGTACATGTGACTGAAAATGAAGCAAAGCCAAGCCAAGCAATGCTCTCACTGTTGTGGTTGCTCCCTACTCTGCTCTTGGGATCACAGAATCACAGAACAGTCGGGGTTGGCAGGGACCTCTGGAGATCACCCAGTCCAACCCCCTGCCAAAGCAGGGTCACCTACAGCAAGGTGCACAGGATCCCGTCCAGGGAG